CACCTGTGTGGCCGTCGGCACCGTGCGCTCGGGCCAGACACGCCCAGCCCTCCCGCTGAGGGCCTGAGCCGGGGGGTGCCCGCCTGGCCTCCCAGCTCACGGGCGTTGACTTGGCTGGTGGGGGTCTTCCCTGGACACCTCTGGCCTGCTGCTGGGTGTGCGGTCAGCATGTGGGCTCGTGTTCGCCCACCACCTTGCAAGATGAGCGCCCATCTGTGAGCCGAGCTGCAGGGAAATCGCCCATGCGTCTGGTCACTTGGCCTCGTCCACCCTCCCCTCAACAGTTCGGGCGGCCCCGGAGCACACACCCACAGGGTGCCCCAAGGGACAGCTGGGCACCCCGCCCTGGGGCTCAGCAGCAGGCCCGTGCCCCGCCCTGGGCAGTGGTCTTGGCCTGCCGCGCTTTGTCCAGGGGGCAGCGTGGGCACACGACCCGTCGGCCGGCCGTGCGCTGTTGGTGCTCCCGTCGTGGCTGATCTTGCGCCCTAAGTACAAGAGGCGCCGTGCGAGAAGCCAGGCCAGGTAAGTGCTGCCCGGCACGGCGGCTCCCGGGGGCTGCTGCCTCGGCCGGCGGGGAGCCCCGAGCCCCGGCGGCTGTGCTGGGCCCGCGCGGGGCCGGGAGGGCTTCCCAGGCGACCGGCCCGCGGGGCCGGCCGGCTCCTCCCTTGCAGCCTTGCTCCTTAACTCCTCCGCCAGCCTCCCCCACGTCGTCAGCAGGATGGGCAGGCTGGAGCTCGTGGACGTTAACCTCTTCTGCCTGGTCGCCACGGACTTTTACAGACACCAGATAGAGGAGGAGCTGGACCGCCGGGCCTTTCAGTCCGTGTTTGAGGTGGTCGCGGCACCAGGAAACCCGTATCACCGACTGCTGACTTGTTTGCGGAATGTCCACAAGGTCACCACATGCTGAGTGGCCTCACGGGGCAGCTGGGAGCCGCGGGCTTCCGCGGGGGCGCCAGGGCAGGCGGCGGCGTCCGCCTCTGCAGGTGCCGCGCCCCTGGCCGTGCGGCTGTGTGCGCGCGGGGCGTATCAGTAACGCCGAGGGCCGAGCCGGGTCCTCCCGCGGAGCTTGTGCTGGAGGCCAGGCGTCGCTGTCCCGGCGTCCAGCCTGGCCCGGGGCACGCTGCTCAGTGGCGGGGATGCGAGCCCTCTGCTTCGGGCTGGCTGCCAGCCTCGTGCTTCCCCGGCAGAGGCCCCGGGGGCGCTGGTCTGTGCTCCCCCACCCCCGAAAGGTGCAGGAAGCCAGGGCCGGGCCACGCCGGGCAGGGGGGCGTGTCTCTGGGGTGTGGGTGGGGGCTGGTGGCCAGCTGCCCAGCGCGTCCTCCCTTCTCTGTTTTCTTCTCAGGATTTCAAATTTAATTCTATCAGTAAAGAGATTAATTTTAAGGTAACTGCCTGCACCCGTGTGCGTGTGTTGGGGAGCCCCGCTGCTTCGGCGGCGCCCCCGCGGCCCGG